GGGGGGAAAAGGGCTCACATAAACAATTTTAACAAGCTACAATTTCCATTTGTTTAATGCAGACGAAAAGACAAGAGTATCAAATTCACTCAAGATTTTTAAGTTACAAATTAACTTTTGATCTTTAATTAATTAGACTTGCCTTAACCTAAAGGCCAAGAAAATCGAAATTGAAAAAAAAAAAAAAAAAAAAAATCTGAGTCCGGTTTAAATATATGATAATATTAACAGTCTTTTTGCGAACAGAGCAAAGAGGTTAGTTGGAACAGAGTTACAAAGGTGAAAAAAAAAGGCAGGGTCGCGTGGTTATTAAATGGCGATACTACACTTTAAGGTATTTTACAAACACTGGAAATTTAACACAGACGTAAATACACTAATACAATTAGCACGGAATATTTTTTTAAGATCTTTTTAATGATCAACTTTATAAGAAAAGAATATTTACTTAACAGTTAATATTTACTTAACATAATTTAATTGCAGTTATTACGGCGGCACTTCTCCAGAAAGTAATGTAGCAGCTGATGTACGTAATCTAATTTATGTATCGCAGTTACAGAATATCTATCCATCTAAAGTATTTACACTCACTTTAGATACTCAACATTTGCTCTTTGCAAAAAGTATTCGGCAGTTATTCAGGAAAGACTAAAGTAGAAATTGATAATGATAATTATGCAGAATAACACATTCCGAGGTGGGACAGCGTTCGAGATGTCTTTCGCTCTCCGTTTCCTTGCGTTGCAACTACCCGCGCTACTGTACCGAGTTCATCGACCTCGCCTCACGGGCTCTAGGTTGTTTCTTCGGCTTTCGCCTCGCAAAAGCATCGCCTTTACTTCACTGCTGCACCATTCGCTGGATAAAACAGGTCGTATTTTATTCTTTCTTCTGATTTTCTTTATTTACCGTGCTGATAAGGGTACCTTCGGGTACGGCCTCTAGTTAGGCCTTTTTATTCCAAACTTATTTTACCTCACATGATTAATCAATATGACACAACAAACATAATTGTAACTAATAATAACATAAACATGGAAAACTCACCTCCAAACTCAGAAAATCCTCACATGAGACATCTCGATGAACCCACCCCTCTCCAAATATTAAGCCACAAAATTACTTTATCCAATGACGTCGAAACTACCAGATCCTTGGTGGAAGATATCCAAGATATCCGTAACGACACAAATGTGATTTTGTCCGCTAGTGGTCAAAAAGAACTAAACTTTCTCCTTGTTAAAGCCATTAATCAACTGCGTATGCAGGAAAACGAGATGGCCAATGCAAAAATAAACGAATTACAAACCTCTAACGAAAAGCTCGCTAAGCAATTTGAAGAGATTAAAAACTTCTGCGACATACTTCAATCCACTAGTGGTTTCAAAGAACAAAGAAAAAGAAATTGCGCCATAGACAAACGGATTCTGACTCCGATGAGGAGCCTTCCCTCAAAACCAGCAATCGATATAAACAATTAGAGAACCAAATAGACGACATGCATTTGGACAACGAAGATGAATCAGCCACTCAGCTCACTATCACCCCAAAAGACCAACCAAACAAAAGTGACACCATTCCCGCAAATAGAAAAACAAACTCCAGACCCTAAAAACAAGCAGAATTGATAAAGTGCCAATTATTGTCGTAGATGACGTACCAAAAGCGGATGAATTCTTAAAAACTTAAACACAGCAAACCGGAAAAGAGATAACTAACTGGCACCTTAAAAAAGGACGCCGCCTTGAAATACAGCCTGCAGACTCTGACTCACATCGATTCATTCGCAAAATAGTCGAAGAAACTAAAAGCTTAAAGCCCACACCTACTTACTTGCCCGAAAGATAAAGTTTTTAAAAGTCATAATAAGAGGCTTACCCATCACCACAGATCCCCAAACCATCACTCAAGAACTTACTTGACAAAGGATTCAAGGTTAACTTTATAACACTATTAAGAAACAGAAAAGAAAACAAACCAATGCCGCTTTTCTTAGTACATATACCAAAATCAGAAGAAAATAAGGAAGTATTCAAAATCAAACGCATAGGTTATATGAACGTAACAATAGAATCATTACGCAAGAAACCTGGCCCTCCACAATGCTATAGATGCCAGGGATTTTTTTCTCAGTTCCCTGCTCTGCACCAGAGACTGGGTTTGCGTCCGTTGCGGAGGCAATCACAAACCTATAGAATGCACCCGTAGTCGCGACCAGCCAGCCATATGTTATCACTGCAAAGGTCCTCACCCAGCCAACTTTTCAAATTGCCCAGCCAGACCAAAAAACAAACAAGTTCAGTTCCAACCCAGTCCTCCACCAGCAACCAATCCCTGGACTAACAGAAAACAAGACTTTCCTCCGCTGACATCAAACAGTAACGAAAATATCGCTCAAACCTCCATTCAAAACGAAATTCTAACAGAAGAAACTACCAGCACCGCAGAATCCTCCCTGTCAGACCTCTTTGACTTCTCTACGCTAAAAACAATCTGGACAATAGTGATACAAGGACTCAAAGAGATTAAAACCAAGAAATCACCTCTTGATAAAATAATCGCAGTAGTCGAAATCATTGAAAAAATAGGAAATCATCTTTAATGCTAATAAATTCAAGAACAGATGCAACATAAAAATCCTCTCTTGGAACGCTAAACGGTCTTTACCATAAAAAAGATGAATTATCGAACCTCATTAGTTGAAATTGAACCTGACGTAATACTCATACAAGAGACTCACCTTAGAACCAGCACTCAAAGTACTTTATGCTAATTATAACACCTACCGTACTGGATCGTGAGACAGGAAGAGGCGGTGGCATCATCACATTTGTTAAAAGGAGCATAAAACACTCTCAAATTCCTAAATCCCAGTACCACTTTCGAAAGTAACACAATAGAAATTGTAATAAAACACAAAAAATTCAAAATTTCGAATATACACATCTCCACCAAATAATAATCCCAGTGCACAAGAATTGATTCACTCCTTAATTCTAATACTTCTACCATTGTCGGAGGGGACTTCAAACGTCCAAACATCCCCTGCTGGGAACCGAGGACCTGCTAACAAAAAAAAAAAGGAAATGACATATTTAAACTCATTCAATCAAATAATTATAACATTCATGCTCCCAGACGAGCCCACCCATTACGGGTACAATAGCGCCACTACAATTGACTTCTTCATCTCAAATAACATTACTAACAGATGCAATATCTCTGTAATTTCAGCCCTGTCCTCCGACCACAACCCCATTGTATTTGAAATCCCCATTAATAAATACCTCCCCTCACTTGACAGAAGTATAGGAGTTACAAATTGGATCAAATACTCTGAAATTCTGAATAACTCCATACAAGGTAACCCATGCATCAACAACACAGAAGATTTTGAACATGAAGTCTCAAAATTTACCAACAGCATCAATTCTGCTTTAAAGGAAGCCACCAATACTTTTTATGTGAACAAGTCTTTCCTTCCCCTGCCTGCCGATATAAGAAATAGGATTAAAGAGAAAAACCGGATCTGCGAAAGATGGCAAACCACCAGGGATCCACAACTCAAACACGAACTAAACTCTATGCAAAAAGAAATCAACAGACGAATCAAGAACTACAAAAACCAAAAATGGACCAATTTCCTAAATAGCCTTGCTATAGAGGACAATTCCCTATTTGACATCTCCCGCAAATTCAAGAAACCTTATAAACCTATTCCACCTATCCATGGACCTAGTGGAACTTCATATATAGAAGAAGATAAAGCTAAATCTTTTGCGGACTATATGGAAAATACATTCACTCTTAATCCCACTCCGTACGACAATAGCCATATTGAACGGGTCAACCAGGTTGTCAATAACTTCCTTAACACCCCTGCTCCGTACAACTTCACTTTCCTGACTACCCCAACCATCGTTGCCAACACCATCAGCGCCTTACAAACGAAGAAAGCCCCAGGGCTCGATGGCATCTCAACCAAAGCACTGAAGCATCTTCCGATAAACGCTCTTACCTGCCTAACTAAAATTATCAACAACATTATCAAATTCGCTCATTTTCCTAACTCATGGAAGCAAGCTATAATAATTGTTTTTGCTAAACCGCAACAAAATCCAACTCTCCCACAGAACTATTGCCCTATCAGTTTACTTAGCCACCTGTCTAAAGTTACTGAGAAAATCCTACTTTTCAACATCCAAAAAATTCACCCTTCCATGAATTTTCTCCCAGAAGAACAATTCGGTTTTCGTAATCATCATAGCACTTGCCACCAACTTCTTAGAGTTATCAACATTATCACTGAAGGCTACAACTGCAAGCTTCCAACCGGTGCTATATTTCTCGATATCGCGAAAGCTTTTGACAGGGTATGGCATCGAGGACTTATTTACAAACTAATCACTCTCAATTTTCCAGATCATTTTATTCGCTTAATAGCCTCTTTTCTCAGCAACAGAACATTCAGAATCAAAATCGGTACTGCATACTCTACCACCAGAGTAATCAATGCTGGTGCCCCACAGGGGTCGGCACTTTCGCCGTACCTTTTTAATATTTATACCTTTAGACACTCCCCGCCTAATAGACACTCCCGCGCCTAATAGACCTAATAGACACTCCCCGCGTCCCAGAGAAAAACATCGCTACCCTTGTGATATCCTCCCCACATAGGATTCACAACCTTAATAGACTCATTCACGCAAAACTGACTCTGCGGTTTTTACCACCCGCGGCTACATCTTATAACGACACTGAATTTGACACCTCCGCTTTTTTCCGCCGCTAGTGCGGACCTCACTCTCTTTCTTCCGCCTCCCACACTCCTTTTCCCCTTCTCTTTCTCCTCCCTCCCGATCTTTATCAGAAGTCGAGTAAAAAGATGTTTCTACATCTTGACACTCGAGAATAAAATACGATCTGTGTGTGCAAAATAACAGTTTTTGTTTTAGAAGCCTCACAAAATTATGGGTATGAAATTAAATGAATGGACTGGCAACAAGTTCTAAGATGATTGACATTCCAAGTAACCAATGAAAGTAAGATGTATAGTGACAGATGAGATAGGATTAACTTTGCCGAAAGATGTGTATTATTGCTGTCAAGTCGAAATTTTAAATGTTTCTTTTGTCGGTTTAGGTTGTTTAGTTATTGCTTCGTGTCATGGCCGAAGAAATAGACACATCAGTAATCAAGAAAACACAAGAAATTCTTGGAAGTGTTATAAAAAAGCCAGCTCTTACGGAAAAATCTTTAAAAAAACCACCTTTTCGATTTCTTCATGATATCATTACCAATGTAAGTTTACACTGTATTCACTTAAGAAACTATTATTATGTATTTTTAAGAATCATGATGTTCAGCTTAAGTTTTTTGTCAGTATCGAATGGTTTATTATGTTTTCTTTTGTAGGTAATAAAAACGTCAGGATTTTATAAAGGATTATACACTTCCGAAGAATTGCAATCAGATAACGTAAAGGTACTTAAATGTCTCTTCTTTTCTAATTTTAGTTTTTAAGTACGAATAAAAAGTATTAAATGTTTGAAATAATAATATATTTATAAATATAAAGAAGATTTATTTCTCAAGCTTTGGTAATATTCACACATGTGGTATAATTTCTCTTTAAAAGATTTGTGTGATTTGCTGTTTTAACTGTGTTTATTTATTTATTTTTGTAACCTATAGGATAAAGAAACCAAGATAGTTTTTCTTCAAAAAGCCATAGATGTTTTAGGTAAGTATATCTTATTGCAACTCTTATATTTTATATATGTGATAAAATTTTTAAGCTATGACATAAATAGTACAAATTATGATGAATCTAATGCTTCTTTCTATTGATAAGTGTATTGTTGTAGACTTCCATAGATCATTTTTTGGAGTGTGATTAATAGACAAACATAATGGAGCAGTGCTGGAGACTTTGCTTTTTTTATTAATTTCATGTGTTTAGTATTTGTGGCTCTATAAAATATAAATATAGAAAACATGATTGAAGTTATTACATCTGGCTACTTAAAAAAAAAAAAAAAAAAGTATTGATACAAAGCTTTTGTTTAAAATGTGTACAAAAATTAATTAAAATTTAAAAAAAAAAAGAAAAAAAAATCACACAGTTTAATGAGAATAATAGATTAACAGAATTCATCTACAGTTTTATATTGCATGCAATAAAAATATGGGGCACTAATGATGAATTAAAAAAGATAATGATACACTTGATAATGCAGTTAATTGGAAATTCAAAATGATAATAGTTCATATATTTGACAATGCAATTAAATTAATAGATTTTGTTATTTAGGCACCCATGCTTTTATTACTCATGATATAAAATTGTAGATGATTTCTATAATTATTTAATCTGTTACTCCTGATTTCTATAAGTAGAATTATTCAATCTGTTACTCACATTCAACTGTATGATAAATAATTTTTTGCTTTGTAACACATTAATTATTATATCCATTCTAAATAAAAGCTTATTGTATAAAAAAACCTTTTCTGTAATTGTATTTTATTTTCTGTTTTTTAGTCTCAATTACATGTTATCAGTAATGAAATTTACTCATTACTAAAACACAAGCAGTAAATTATAAGAAAATTATGAAATAAAGAAAGATAACAGAACATCATTCAGAGAATGAAGAAATGGGTCTGAATATTCTGTTTCAGAAATTGGATGTAATAACGAGGTTATGAGTTATTTCACTTGAAGCTGAAATAAAAAAAATTAATATTGTCAATTTGTTATTAAATGTACCATGACGGCAAATTTTATAAGTATGCCAAGATAGTGAACTCTAAAGCAATTTTTCTGCAAGAAACTCTTTTTTGCCCCTTTTAGTTTAGACTGAAACAAATTATTATAAAAAAATGTAAAAAATTGCTCAATTAATATATCATTCTTTTAACCCTCCGACTGCTCAATTTGTAAACCGAAATCACTTAAAAAATTGTGCAATTTTTTTTTTTTTTTTTTTTTTTTTTTTTTTTTTTTTTTTTTTCATATTTTAAATCTGTATATATTGGGAGAATTCAAAAATGCATTTTTCCTTTCTAGAATAGATTTTTATATAGATTTGTATCATGAGAAACTAAGTTGCCAGAAAAACCAATTTCAGATGTTATCACTCCCCCCAAATTTTTTTTAAATAAATTTCAGTCAATTTCTATTTATTGTATAATAAAAAAAGTAAAATATTTAAAATTTAAGAAAATATAAAGCGGTGAGGAAAAAATACCTTAGAAATGCAGTTTAGTATGATAGACTTCAAAACAGAGTTCAAGGCAAAGTCCAACTTCTCAGTCTTTGCACCAGATTCAATAAATCTAATTAATAATTCAACAATTTAATTAAATAATCAAGATAATTGCTGAATGTTTTCCAGCAGCCATTTCTGTAAGAAAAAGGCACAAAAAGTGGAGTTTGAGTGGTAATACCATGTGCCTTCAAATGCCGCAGTTTAAAGGACAACTAATGATATTTGTTGGCCAAAATGTAAACTAAACGTCTAAGACTGTATATAATTTATTTCAGTGGTTAAACGGGGAAAAAACGGGATGTGCTCCTCAATAAAGGAAGAAAAACACATGCCTGCAAGATGAGCAGAGTTTGCTATATTTGAGTTGCCCGTGGAAATCGCGGGATGAGCAGTCAGAGGTTTAAAAGAAGGCAAAAAGTTAGTTTTATAATTTGGAAAAATTTTCAAAACTTTATATCAGATACATTTTTAGATGTTGAAATTTTAAAATGATAAACATCAAATAGTCTAAAAAATTGAGGGATTTTTAAAAATTCAGAAATTAAATTACAAGTTACATTGAAAAGTTTTTTTTTTTTTTTTTTGTTGTGTTTATTTAAGGCATAAGCACTATAATTCTGTTATGTTTGATTTTACCATTAAATGAAGATATGTGCAAAAAATTCTTTAAACACCAAATAAAAAAAAAAAAACCAATTGAATTTAAAAAAAATTTAGCTTCATCGCATTGCATTCATTGTCTTCAACTAACATGTACAAAATTTAAACTCGTTAGCATATAAGGAAGTAAGTTAAAAATCGATTACAACACTCCAACCACAATGCAACACCATCAATGACCTAAATAAAGTGTATTTTTTAAAAAATTTAGATTACATATTTACCATGTAAGCATAAGTATTGTAAGAGAAAGTATACATTACTAAAATGTAAAGTTGTTTTATTTCTTAGTCGTGAGTTATAGTATTGCTTTATTATTTGCAGCTAATAAAAATTGGATAAAAGACCAGTTTTATTTCTACTGTTATGTCAGTGCATGCACTACCTGCATTATATAAGAATCATATGAAATCCATTAAATTTTTACATGATGCACATCAAAGAGGCATCACTATAAGCATTTTACTGTTCTTAGAGTAGAAAGGTAAAATATAAAGGATGTTTTAGTTACTGATTAGATATTACAAATTAAAGTCAAAATCTTAAGTTGTAGTATATAATGATAATGTTATAATTACTACTAATGCTACAGCTAATAAAATTTCAATAGGAAAAAAAATCAGTAATACTACCTTTATCATATATATATGTACTATTCGGCTGCATTGTTACATAGTTGTATTTGAGTGCTTGTTGTACTTGTGCAGTTCTACACTGCTTCGACAAATCTGTATTGAAACACATTCTCTGGTGAGCTACTTGCTTATGTAACATAATAGGAATACAGTGGTACCTCATTATGCGGCATTAAATTGTTCCAGATAAATTAACTTTACTAATAAAGGGAAAGTAATTCATCTGTTCCTATAAACAAAGTTTGGTACTTTTCTGTATCAGACTGGATTCAGAAATATATATTTATATATGCATGTATTGATGTATGTACACTGTGCCAAAAAAAAAAGGAGGAGACAGTTCTATATCTCCCGTTCTACTAGGCTGATTGACAAAATTCAAATTGCGTTTTTCATGGCTTGAAAGCGCGACTTAGGATATATATTAGATTTATATATAGCACTAATCTAAAATAGGTATTTTGACACAAAATCGGCCTTTTTCTGAAATAACATACCAATTTTTTTACATATTTCAATTCTACGACTCAAATTATGCCTAGATATTTAATTTTGTAAAATTTTGTGCGAAATTTATGGAAAAATTCAAACATTTAGATTGGCGCTTTTTTTTTTTTAGTTTGCGCCAAGAATAGTTCACTTGGCGAACTTCTTAATATATAATAACCAATTATCCTTTTCCTTTTTACATTGTGCGTGAGAGGAAAATAAGACACAGCTTTCTTTCTTTCAAATAATGTTTTTTATATTATATTTTTATGTTATTATTTTAAATACTTTTTTTTCTTTTTCGAATTTCATTTTAATTGTTTAAGTTGCATGGCTTCTTTCAAGTAACTGTTTTAAAATTTTCTATTTACTCATTCGAATTGCGTAGTTTAAATAAAAGGTGCATCATTTATTATTTTTTTTTTCAAAAAGTTTTCTTTATACTATATTTTTTAGTCATAATTATTATTTTACGTAATTTTTTAATTTTTAGACTTTTATTTTAATTGTTTGTGTTGCATTGTCTCTTCAGATAATTTTTTAAAATTTTCTATTCAATCATTCAAATTGCACATTTTAAATATATTTACTAATACAGTCAAAAGTCGTTAATTCGGACACCCATAATCCGGAATGATCTATAATCCGGACCTCAAAGCTACAAAATTTCTGCGCATGCATCATGTTTACGCATGCGCACAGGCGTTTAAGAGTGCACGTAAGACCTTTACGGCTGCAAATATGTTTGTGCGCATGCGCGTTTAATGTGTAACGGACGTATAAGCTAAACTAAAATTATCTAATTCAGTTAATGTTGCAGATTGCGTTGTTCCTTAATCTTCGAATTGGATCCGGCTTATTATTTTTGCAGACTGTTAGAGCAATTTCATAAAAGTGAGCTTGAACTTTCGATTATGTCAAATAGAATTTCCGATATATATTTACTAATATGTAATTTGTATCTACAAAGCGAAAGTATGTTTTGAAATCCGAAATCTGTTTATCAATTTCACGCCGCGGATTGGAAGTTGATCTGTCAGCACTATCCTTATCTTCAGGGCAGATGTTTTTATTTTATTTGGCTTATAATTCCTTACTAAGTGTAGTATTTCATCTCGATGTACTCCGTCTTTGATATGATTTAAATCAAGTTCCTCGTCATTATAATTCACTTCCGATAGTGAAGAAAGTGACCCAGAGGTTATTGAAAACGAAAAAATTTCTATTGACAAATTAGTTGGTATTCTCAACACAGCAATTATAGGACTTGAACAGCGGAACTTTGTAAGTAAACAAGAAATTATGTCTGTTTAATAGAATTAAAGAGAAAGTATTATCACATGAAACGAAGCAACTTACATTGAAAGAAATGTTTAATAAAGTAAACAAATAAATATTAAGCTTTTTCTTTTTGTAAATTTTGATACCCTTTAGATCATAAGTGTTCTTTATTTCATAAATTACGGTTTCATATTTTTAATTTTGTAATTTCTGCATGCCATCTTACCAGTTTTAAACTGATGATCTATAATCCGGAAAAATCGATAATCCGGAATCGCCGAAGTCCCGACGAGTCCGGATTAACGCCTTTTGACTGTATAAATTTTCTAGAATTTGATTTTATTTATTTGAATTGGGTTTCTTTTGGAAGAATACTCTGTGGCCCAGACTAAGATGCATTTGAA